ACAAGCCACGTGGCAAGGTATAGATTTATGGAAATGGATTAATTTAAGCTATAAGAACAGTTAGCAAGAAGCCTGCCACGGCCATACAGTTTGTAAGAAAAAAAAAAATCCTCCTGCAAGAGAAGGGAAGAGGGAACATCTTTTTACATCCTCCAACCCAGTGAAGGCTGGACACTAGCCTCATCAAAAGAATCCTTTCTTTGTTGTTTTTGAATGCAGACACTAGGGCCCCAGCCCAGACTTAGCATGACTTATGTAGTTGAATGGAAGGTGCCCACAGAGCAAGCCTGCCCATTTGTTAAGCCTAGAGAGAGGCCAGGTTGTTACTCCTTTTTAAAAGGAAGTTGAGTTGAGACCCAAACTCCTATCTACAGAAAAGGTAATCAAAAGGAACTAAGATTAATGCAAGCCAGAGCTGGAACCAGCAGCAGCTCCCACCTCCCCTGGACCTGTGCAAACACCTCACTGCCACCCTGGACTTGCATATGGAGCAGAGAGACTATCTAGATAAAACCAAGAGTGGGGAGGGGAAGAAATAATAGAAATGATAGATGATAAATATAGATAATATAGAGAGAGATAGACGATAGATAAGATAGATTGTTAGTAGAAAGATGATAGGTAGATGGAAAATAGATGATAGGTAGATAGATAGATAGATAGATAGATAGATAGATAGATAGATAGATAGATAGATAGATAGATAGACAGACAGTAGGTGGTAAATAGATGATAGGTGACAGACATGCAGGAGTACCCACACTTGTTTCAGATGCCTTTAGTACAGAATTTCCACTGCAGATCCTTAAGCAGGCTCCTCTCAATTTTCTTAGAGACTAAGCAGGTTCTGCCTGGAGCACTCCAGGCACTCTTCCATCTGGGAGCCAGAGATCTGCTCCTGGCCTTGTGAGCCTTGTTAGTGTGATGGGTTTGTGACCTAAATCAGTGAACTTTTCTTTTTAACTCACTACCATGACTGCAGGAGCTGAGACTTAGAGTGCATTGTACAGGGAATGTTGAGGGACCTCCTTCATGATCCAGGGGGACCAACAGACAGAGAGGATGGTGGAATGCTTCTGCTGCATTCCTCCAGATCAACACTGCAGTGAATGCAGTGGGCAGTGCCACAGGAAATGACAGGAGTTGCCTGCAACCCAAGCAGATGCTGAGAA